TAATTAGTGAAATTAACCCTCGATGTTTTTGAATTTGTGAACTCAACAATAATTCAATATTTTCAATTTTTTGGGAAGTGTAAAACAAGACACCAAGTATTTTTGTTTCCTTGACTGTTTTATAGGGTGATAAATCAGGTATGGAAAGCACTTCGCTTTTACTTATGTTAATCATCATTTGAGTTTGTTTGCTAAATGTATCGATTAAGCGAAACAACCTGTCAATACATCGGATTTTGATAAGGCAAGTTATGTCGTCTGCATATGAAACTAGTTTGGGGCACAATATCCAGAAACCTTCAATTGCTTCTGTAGATTCAATTGCTTGAAGAAGGGGTTCGATAAAAACTATGAATAAAAATGCGGAAAGAGGGCAACCTTGTCTCACACCGCGATGAATTTTGAAGCTGGCTGATAAAAAACCATTTATCTCAATTACTGCTTTTGAGTCTAAATACAAAGTTTCAATAGCTCTAACTGAAAGCTCATCAAGGTTTAACCCTTTCAAAATTTTGATGAGAAGTGATCTGTCAACTCTGTCAAATGCTTTAGAAAAGTCTAATTTTACAGCACATGAACCTCAGGTAGCCAATCGTTCTGGAGTAATCGCTTTTTTCAATTTTCGTATTGCTGTGTGCATTTGTCTTCCAGGCAAATACGCGTGCTGATGGTTTTTTACAACTTTGCAAAGGTCATTTTTAATTCGATTACAGACTACATGGGCAAAGATTTTCGCGTCAGTATTCATAAGGCTGATGGGGCGAAAATCTTGTACTGCTATGGCATTTTCAGATTTCGGGATCAGTTTGATTATTGCTAAATAAAAACTGTTTGGAAGTTTTCCACCATGAACAAAATGATTAAAAACTTTAGCTAAAATTGAACAAAACTCATCCGTGAAAGTCTTGTATAGCTTAGAAGTAAGGCCGTCTGGTCCAGGCGAGCTTTTCAAATTCAATTTGTTTATAGCCAAGTGAATTTCATCTTCTGTAAAGTAATTATAGCCATCATTCTCATTTTTTTCGAGTTTATTTTTGATAAAAATGTCTTTAGTAGTTGATCGGAGTCTGTTGTAGAACTATTTGAAAAAATATTTGAAAAATACTTTCGAAATTGATTAAGAATATCTTCATCCGTATGATAAACGTTCTGATCCACTTGAATTCTCTTGATTGAGTTGATTGTGTTCTTTGATGTCCATTGACTACAAAATTTGGGAACACCCTCGAATGTATAGCTGAGAGTTTTCTGAATTTTTCGATAATCTGAAAAATCTTTTTCCTTGGAAACTTTTTGAAGATGTTCCAGCACCAAATGATATTTTTCAATCAAATTAGGGTTGGGACCTTTTCCGCTGTGAATGCAATCTCTGAGAACATTTTCGTGATACTTCAATAAATTAAGTTTTTTCTGATCTACACGCTTTTTGTTCTCTTGAATAAGACTCAGAAGGTCACGAAAATTGTGCTTAAAGTTTTCGTAACTACTTGGTGATTCGTTTTCGTAAAAGTTTTTTAGGTCTTCACGAATTAAGCTGGCGTTGTTGTTTAAAATTTCTTCATTTAATTTCCAGTAACTAGGGCCGCGCTGATACAAGTTAGATGGCTTAACAAAAACGTGTAAGAGCAATTGATCAGATATTGATATTTGAATGCTTTGCATAGAATCATACTCTGTTTCGAATTTTAAGAAGACATAATCTATGCGTGCAAAAGTTTTATGTTGTTTGTCATAATGTGTATAATCACAAAAATCATTCTTGAGTGCAAAATCAACAAAACCAAAACAGTCAAGAATTTGTTCTTTGAGTTGGGTAAATCGTTTGATACGTGCATCATTTAACTTAAGTATTGAAGAACTGTTAATATTATCATAAGTCAGCGCATTAAAGTCACCCATCATGATAATTTTCGATTTGTTAGGTAAAAATCTGATGCTTAATTTCAGGGAATTCAAAGTTGCTCGGAATGAAATTGGGTTCGCATAAACGTTGATAACAAACCAATCAAGTTTGACAAATTTTAACAATTGAAAACCTGTACTTGAAGCAATTCTTTTTGCAGGACTCAAATTTGATGACCATAACGTTAAGAAACCACCAGAATTATTTGAGCCCGGTATGAAATCGAATAAAACATTATATTTATCCAATAAACTCAAATGTATATTTGTAAGTTTCGATATTTTTGCTTCCTGAATGCACAAAATGAAACTGGGCTATTTTTTTAAAACTTGGCATTTTTTGATAAGTGAGTGTAATTTAGCTGGATTTCCTATGCTAAAAATATTAACGGAAAAAATATCTGGTTTTTCGCATATGGAAATTTTTGCTAAAACTCCCCTCCAGCCAAGTCTTTTCCGTTATTTTTAGATTTCATTTTTGGCCCTTTCTTCCGTGTTAAAACTGACCAAGAGGTTGGTGAAGTTTCACGCTCTCTTTTTGTAAGCATTCTTCCGTCAGAGGAACATTTTCGTTTGTTATTTTCGATATTTAATTTGTCTTTTTTTTCTTTTGCAGAGTAAGAATGAAAATCTACGACCTGATTGTTGAGAACCTCATCCTTTTGTTTTTCTTCGCTTGGAGTAGCTGCACTGTTTGTTTTAGATTCATCAATCAAAACTCCAGATGGTGGTGCTTCAACATTCTTATCTTCTTCATCATCGGTACCATTACAAAACTTATCGCTTGTTGTTTTGTCATCGTTTTTCTCGTCGCTGGCATTATTGGAGCTTGGTTTTTGTGGGTAGTGATTATTTGGATTTTTGGTTATTTGGTTCCCTATGTTACACCAATCATCGTGATGACCTTTTTCTTGGCGTCCAGACATCTTGCATTTTTGACATTCATGTAGTGAAGGTATGTGAAACGAGATTTCTACACCTTCCCATATTTTGAAGCCATCCATTCTCGATTTATAAGACCAGTCCTTCAGCTTTTTCTCTTGTTCTTCGTTTTGTATTTTAACTTCTAAAATTGCTCTTCCTGTGTAAACATACTGACCCGGTTCAGTTACGATACAGGTCTCACGTTGGAATATGGGGCTATGAATTATGTCTTCTGGCAAATGGAGAATTAATTTCGCTTCGATATCGTTGCATACATAAGGCAAGTTCGACAATTTGATTTTTGCTAGTTTAGGGTAAATGTTCTTGGGTCTATGAGACCTTGGAAAGCATCCCATGGGAAATACCGTCCTGTTAAGTAGAATGATTCCTTCGCTTTTGATGCTAGTTATGAATTGCTCTGCTTCGGGGGGAGCAATAACTGTCAGTGTATGAAGTTTGCGGTCATCTTTCGTCACGGTTATTGTTTTTGAGATTGTCATCTTCTTTTGCATTGTTGTGGGGAATTGTTTAAGTATATCGGAAGCACAACTTCGATATGCCTGCGCCAGATTTTCAGTTGACCTTACAATTTCTCTCGAGAATGGGGGGATGATTTTGATTATTTGGATTTGTTTTGTTTGTGTCGTCGATTTGTTTGCTGTTAGCGCATTTCTGAAATTTGTCTCCGTTCCAATCAGCACTTCGTGAGTAATTGGTAGCTGAGATTCCGTCAGTTGTTGTTGACTCATGACTTGGTTTTACTCAATGGGGGGCAAAAAAGCCTTCACCCGTAGGTATACTTGAAAAAAAAAATTAGAATTTTCTCTTTCAAAATGTAGAAATCAGAAGGCAAAAACATCTGATTCGATTTTGCTTTAGTTTATTTTTTGACTGAATTTTTTTGAACAGAAAGTTTCGAATATAGTATTGAAAACAGTGGTAAAGCGTTGTTACGTGTCTTCTTTTCGTTTGCAGTGTGTCCGTTCACTTAAGTATGAATGAATGAAGTGTTGACATGCCAAGGGGAATTTGATTTTGCAAAATAGTATTTAGTGTTAAATTTATCAAAATAGCTGTTTCGATGATTATAGAGTCGCTGGATTCTGCTGTCTTTGAGTCCTGGAGTACAGGTGGCAAACCGAGAAATCGGCTTTGTTAGTTTGCGTTCATGAAAATAAAAGTTTCATTGACACACGCTTGAAATAGATTTTAATTACTGCATCGGGACTTTGTGACTTTTAAAATTAAATTGGGATTTTTCTTATACTGGAAGCGTACTACTTATATGACTGATTAAAACGTATGAAGAAAATTGTTAGCAATTCTTCAGGTGGGCTTTGCAATGAAGAGAAAGTAGCGGAGCAACCGATTGTTCGAATGTTTGCTCGACTATAAACCTTCGAAGGTTCTGGTGATTATTCGGTCGTACTTCTCCTGCGTGTTGTGGACCGACCTTTTACCAGAAAAGTTATAACATGGACATTTTAGCAGACTCGATAAAAAAATTTGATTGACAGATGTAATAACGCCGTTTAGTATGGTTAAAGACAACGATTTCAAGGTTTCTTAGCAAAGTTTTGTTTGTTCTAACCGCTTCCTTTTCAAAACTTCCACTAAGTTTAACTTATACTAATTGAGTTATTGCATTGTGGTCTGGTAAAAGACCTAGCCCCCTGCGTGTTAATTGAGGTGTTTATACTAATTACCCAAATCTCACTACTTGGGCGAGGAGATCTTGATACTGCCTACCATTCTCCATTCTCGAGCACCCTGTCTGAGCAAGTTTTCAGCTTTGCTGGATACTTTGTAAACCTAAAAGGGCAATACTTACTTGAGAACGGAGGCGGAGCAATAAGCAGAATGGTCCAAGTGCAGAATGGGTCCAAGAGCAGATAAACAAAAATATTGACTTATATTGGTTTATACGGGCTAATTGATAAAAAAATTATTAGAATCGTCAGAAAATGCCAAGAAAACGAATAAATTATGCATGAAATTTTTTGATTAAGTTTTATTTAAAATTCTTGATTAATTTGCCTAAATTATGCATAAAGTGTTCGTTGCTTTGCTATTATTGACATTTCTGATTATTTTACCGATTAGCTTGTAGAAGTTGATATTTTTCTGCTCTTGGACCCATTCTGCTCTTAGACCATTCTGCTTATTGACTGGCCACCCTGGAAAACGTATAAATATACCGAAGTTTCAATTAATTATTCATTTTTTTTCTCAAGAATGCGGAAAAACCCAATGAATATCGAACGTTCGAAGAGTGTTCGAATGTTGCTGACAAACATTCGAAAGCCTTTTTCGAACGAATGTTGCACGACTAATAGAAATTGATATGACCGAAATATTGTTTGCATGAGTGCAGTTCAGTTCAACGCACCTTTAGTATTACCGGTTAAAGATGGGCATGTACTGCTAGAACATGAGTGTCATTGTACTGTCCTTGATTTCAGAACTTAAAATGGCCGAAGCTGAACTCTTGGATTACGAAGAAGAAGAGGCAACTCAAAATGCCGTGAAAGATACCAAGAGTACGAAAGAGGTGAAAGGAATGTATGTATCTATTCATACATCTGGATTCCGGGACCTTCTGCTGAAGCCAGAGCTTCTGCGGTCGATCACTGACTGTGGATTTGAGCATCCCAGTGAAGTTCAGCACGAGTGTATCCCGCAAGCTATATTAGGCATGGATGTTTTGTGTCAGGCAAAGTCGGGAATGGGTAAAACGGCTGTATTCGTACTGGCCACTCTTCAGCAACTTGAGGTTACGGAAGGTCAGGTTAGCGTCCTTGTCATGTGTCACACAAGAGAACTTGCGTTCCAAATTGCCAAAGAATACGAAAGGTTCTCAAAATACATGTCTGGCATCAAAGTATCAGTGTTCTTTGGCGGTGTTCCTATAACAAAGGACAAGGAGACACTAAAATCGAATTGCCCATCAGTTGTAGTTGGAACACCGGGACGTCTTCTTGCTCTCATCAGGGAGAAAGATCTCGTTCTCAAGAATCTTAAGCATTTCATCTTGGATGAATGTGATAATATGTTGGAGAAACTGGATATGCGTCGCGATGTACAAGAAATCTTCAAGCAAACTCCTCACCAGAAACAAGTAAGTAATGACGAGAGGCTTCAACTCTAGACGCTATCGTTTGCGGATGCAATTGGACGAGATTCCATGGAACGATAGTGATGCATTACAGTGCAATTAACTATCTCAACTTCCTGGTATCTTGTGTCTTGCGCGGAAGCACGATCAGCAGATGAATAGTGTTAATTTTATTGACGAATTTCCTAGGTGATGATGTTCAGCGCAACCTTGGACAACAACATCCGCACGGTTTGCAAAAAATTCATGCAGGACCCGCTAGAGGTATTTGTTGACGATGACACCAAGCTGACTCTGCATTGTCTGCAGCAGCACTATGTGAAACTGAAGGACAATGAGAAGAACCGAAGACTGATCAGCTTGCTGGATGTTCTCGACTTCAATCAGGTGGTCATTTTTGTGAAGTCTGTTCCGCGATGTGTTGCTCTCAATGATCTTCTGATCGAGCAGAATTTCCCTTCCATTGCCATCCACCGAGGAATGTCTCAAGAGGATCGACTCGGACATTACAAGCAATTTAAAGACTTCTCGAAGCGCATTCTAGTTGCGACCAATCTGTTCGGCAGAGGAATGGATATCGAACGTGTAAACATCGTTCTGAACTACGATATGCCCGAGGACAGCAATACCTACTTGCATCGAGTAGCTCGAGCTGGGCGATTCGGTACTAAGGGATTGGCCATCACATTCGTCTCAAGTGACGAAGATGCGGCTACCCTTAATAAAGTGCAAGAAAGATTCGATGTTCAAATCAGTGAACTACCCGATGAGCTCGACGTCTCAACCTACATGCCCGAAAGTCAAAAGACAGAATAGTTGAGGAATTATGAATGTGGAAAAACTGAGAAATTAAATACTCAATGAAAGATAAGGGACTCGTTCGAAATCTCGTGTTTTACTCGTTGAAATTCTTTACCAATTTGTGTTTTATTACATCGTATTTTATTTGTCTCGTATATGTGAGCTGATTTAACGTAATTGTTCTTCAGCAGATGACAAACAACTCTCGCTGCAATATTTATTATACCTTTTATATAAAACACGAGTTGCTGATTTTCCTCAAATTTCTTCCTCTACGTATAAATTCACTATTTGTGCGTGCGTTTCAAGCTAAGAATTATCGAGTGATAGTTTGCCAATAGCTGGCATCGACCGTTTGTGCAATTATATTTAGTAGCAAAAAGTTCGGACAGACAGAATTAATTAAAATGAGCAATCAGTGCTTTTCGAAGCTTTTTTGCATGCAAAATCTAAGCAGAGCAGCCTTGATTTTTTTTGTCTGACGAATTTCAAAATGCGGCATCTTCGATTATCCGATGATTATGCTAGCCTCATTTTTAAATACTGTGATGAACATTCAGGTTTTATTGTAAAACAGATAGCAAAATTAGTGAAAAAATGAAATTAACAACAAAAAAAACTGATTAGGACGCCCCCATAAAAAAACGGTAGTGAAGATAATCCAATCATTCAAAATTTGGAAACTAAACGCAGAAAAAAATAAGCTACCCTGAGCAATGATTTTCCTGTATTAAGGTTTACTATTCGACGCTTCGGATGCAATTGCCCACCGTTGTTAAACGTTTGCAGCGAAACTGCTTTATGAACTTTCGACGTTTATTTCAGTTTTAATTGCCGTTGATGTCCAGACAGTTGCTGTTTAATTAATGCTGTCTGTCCGAACTTCTTGCAACTCCCTATAGAAAGTTAGGGGGAAAATTTTGACTACCAACTTGACTACTTCCTATTTAAATACAGACCAACGTAGGGACTTAAACATGCCCGAAGTGGAATTTCTTGAACATTACAATATAAGATAGAGCTGAAACGTGCAAAAAATCTTTCGTTCAGCATGCGAAATTTAATACGTCGAAAAAGTTTAAAGATGTCAACATCAGGACTTCTTAAACATGTCAAGTGAACCGACAATTAAATAAATGTATAGATAGATAGATTGCGCTTCAAAAACAAGCAACTTTTCTTGGGAAAAAAAATTGTTGATTATCAACTTCAAAAGAAAAGTTGACTTGCTTTTGAAGCGCAGAGTCTATCTATCTATACATTTTTTAAATGGCGTTTCACTTGACACATGTTTAAGAAGTCCTTATATCGACAAGTTGGTAACTTTTCAAGTTTTTCAGCCTTTTCAATTTCGCATTCTGAACGAAATTCCACTTGGGGCATGTTTAAGAAGTCCCTACGTTGGTCTATTGAAAAGCAAAAACGTTGCAAGGGTTGAAATGTTTACTCAAGACGACGCTTAAAAATTTAATGGATCGCGAATGCTTTAATAACTACGTTTTTCCTATATTTGAAATGTAAAACTCAAAATTTTTGTTTCAGAATTTACTCAACGAAATTTGAAATTCTGAACCCTATACTGGGGTGCTGTCAGGGTAAACTCAGGGTTGGGAATCTTGCGTCCAAGTATGACTGCTTAAATCCTTTTGGTTTTCGAGAAATTGCTTTTTTTATGATTTTTTGCAAAGAACTTTTAAATATAAAAAATACTAACCGAACTTGAAATTCTCAACCCTATAGTGGGGTGCTATCAGCGTAAACTCAGGGGTTGCAAATGTGGCGTACAAGTATGACTGCTCAAGATTTTGGAGATATGGCGGTTTTTATGATTTTTCAATTTTTTTTCAAAAAACATGAAATGAACAAAAAATTAATCGTTCTTGAAATTCTCAACCTTATAGTGGGATGCTGTCAGGATATACTCAGGGGTTGCAAATCTGCAGTTTTAATATGACTGCTCAAATACTTTTTGTTTTCGAGATATGGCGTTTTTGATGATTTTTTCTTTTCGAAAAAACTTAGATGCAAAAAAAACTAAGCAAACTTGAAATTCTCAAACCTATAGTGTGGTCACGTCAGGTTATACTCAATGGTTGCAAATCTGGCGTCCAAATTTGACTGCTGAAATCCTTTTGGTTTTCGAGATTTGGCGTTTTTTTTAACTTTTAATTTTTTTTTTTTCGAAAAGCATGGATGTAGAAAAAAGTTTAACAGGATTTGAAATTATTAACCCTATAGTAGGGTGATGACAAGGTGCACTCAGGAGTTGGAAATCTGGCGTACAATATGACTGCCGAAATATTTTTGGTTTTCGAAATATGGTGTTACACATTCGGCGTTGCAAATCTTCCCTTAAATCCTTTTCCGAAATAAGGCGTTTTTTATGAAGTAGAAACACCTGATACATGAGCCCAGTTCATCTTCACGGTTGCAATAAGTGTTTTGGTACATATTTTAGGGAGCTCTTTTAACGTTCAACGATCTATTTGGAGCACCGTACGTTCGAGTCATGCGCTAGTTAATATTATTAAACATATGGATGGAAAATTAGGTGGATGGAAAATTAGGCGTTCCAACGACCCGAGTGAAAACAGAGTTCATGTTTTTTTCCTTCAGAAGTACAGTTTTCAGATGAAAGAAATTATTCATCCAACTTTCTCATATTGTGTTAGTTTTCGCCAAAGGTAATCCAAACTCCTGTATCGCTAGCGATGTGAAGCTCGATTCACCCCTCTTACTGTTCCGAGGGCATTGTAAGCTTGAACTTTGTTCACAAACGTAGGTGTTGGGGGTTTCTAGGCTCAAAGGGCTTCTCAAGTTGTGTCGGCTTTGATGCCGCTTTTTAAAATATGTCTACGAACGAACTGAAGACACTTTTATAGATCTTGATGATTTTTGTCTGGATTATCTCACGCTCAAATTTGATTTCTGGTGTTTTGACTTTTGAGTTCAATTCCAATTCGTTCGCTTATAGGTGCGAAACAAATCTCTCTAATTAAGAAAGCGGAAATGGCGCGAATAAACTTGATTGATCTACAGGTTTGAACGGTTTTTTTTAGCTTGCGATTAGCAAGTGCTATCGAATCGGAATACACTTGCTACATTAGCTCAATGAATTCAAATTTTTAGCTTCTCCGACACACATGGCCTGGAGGTAACGGAGGGCAAAGGTTCTCGTTTGAGGAGGACTTTTTTTTCAAAGGGGAAATTTTGATTTTACACAGGCCAAGCGTAGTGTATTATTACGAAGAATTTGTTTCTAATCTGAGTCACAAATAAAAATACTCATTTGGTGGCACTTTTGGTACATTGCAATTAATTAAGAGTAATGAATGTAGTGAAAACTCTTATATATTCTTGGTGATTTTATTGGTCTTATGAAGTCTAATAACTACAGATGTGCATTCAGACGTATTGATGCTTTTATGATTGCACTTCGGTATGCATGCGCTTTTTGAGTTCAATTGAAATTCATCTGCTAAAAGTTATTTAAATAGCATTTCAAATACGAACGTGGAAATGGCGCGAAAAAAAAAACAATTTATACTTTCGAAAGGAGTTGAATTTTTAGATTTTCAGTGGAATAAAAAGTTTACCTATTGATCCAGTTTTCTGAAGCTTGAAAACAAGAATTATTTGCTGAACTAGAAATCAAAATCATTTATAAATTAAATGAAGAGTTTAATCATGGCACAGCAGTGATGGCTCAGCGTTATCAGCAAATCAGCTGGCTCGCTTATTCTTTTATACTAGAATTTTTCATTTAGCAAAACGGCCCAATACATTGCATTTCACTTGTTTCGTCGTATTTTGCATTACACAAGCATCTACTGTAGCGTCTGCTGTATCTGCTAAATTGGTAATTTTTATTAAAAGTAATGAACGTAGTCAAGACTCTTAAATAGGTCTAGGTAATTTTTTGTTATTTTTTCAGGCAAAAGTCTTAAAATGCTCTAATGACTACTGATGTGCATTCATACATATTAATGCATATGAATGCACTTCGGTATGCATGCACTTTTTGAGTTCAATTGAAATTCATCTGCTAAAAGTTATTTAAATAGCACTCTCCAAATACGAGCGTGGAAATGGCGCAAAAAAAACGTGAACAATTTATACTTTCGAAAGGAGTTGAATTTTTAGATTTTCAGTGGAATAAAAAATTTACCGATTGATCCAGTTTTTGAAGTTTGAGTAAAATTATCAAAACAAGCACCAATCATAAATTGATCTAGAGATTCAAAGAGCTTAAATCGAAAGTTTAGATTTGCCCAACAAAGCAAGTGTTTTTGTTTCTGTTTACTTGGTTTCCTTACTCTTTTCCAACTGTCAGTTGGCTATGTTTTTAACTCTTTTCCTTTGTTCATTCCTACTTTTCAGAGAAACTTTCGCCACTGTATCGGCTGTTTTTTACAGCGTGCAGCTTCGCCTGTCTTAGAACTTTTCATTCAGAAACCTAGCCAATAAAAAGATAGGCCCTTAAATTAATTCTGAAAATTTTTCCTGAAGGTTGTATTTGGTGGTGATTTTTTCAGACAAATTTGGATTTTTTGACTAGCCATTTTTGACGGAATTTTGTTATATCATTCAAAAGATATTGTTTTCTTGAGATTAAATTTTAAAACATAGTTAACCTGTGATCATTTTTCACAACCGGGACCCGATACAAAAATTCCTTCTAATTCCTTTTTCAGCGGTCCCTTTTCCCGCGATAATTAAAATTAATTGTCCCAATTCCTGAACTTTTCTTTTTCGTCCTAGTTTCATGTGGATATCATTTCCTGGCTTTCTTTCGTTTCGTCGAAGATTTGTCATGCTAATAAAAGTTTGTTATTAAAACTCAACCGAAGGATTTCACACATTTGTTTGAACAAACACTTGAATTGCGTCAACTAGTTTATTTGCTTGAAGTTATTTACCTTAAAATAGTGATTGAGCCCAATACGAACATTTTATTAGTGTTAAGTTGGTAAAAACCAAAACAAGTTTAAGCCAAAGTATAAACAGGACGAGCAGTAAAAACTATCTCAAAATATATGTTTCAGAATTTAATGTTTATTGTTTTCTTTGCGCTGTTTTTTAGACGGTCTTTCTCCTGAATCTTCCGATGAAATGGGTTGTTTACAGGGGGACGTTCACGGAGTCGGCTACCAAAAGCTTCTTCTTCTTCTCGCAGTTCTGTTTCTGAGTAGTGCCGCTGTAAAAATCCCCAATCCGGAAGTTGAAATTCGGGCGAACTGTTATCAGTTTCATCGTATGAGTTGGCCCAATCGGTGTCCATGTAAATGTCTTCTAGAAATGC